CATGAATTGTTTTTTTTACAGGTTTCTCAATGATGGCAATGCCAATATGGTATTCTTTTTGCTGATTGGAACGATTCCCACTTTTTGACTAGGGTTGTTTTTTCATTATTTTTACGTTTTGATTCGATTAATCAAAGACTAAGAAATCTATTATATCATTATATACAAGTATGATGCTCTCGAGAGCCGACTAGTTGCTTGCAGGACAGTAAGTCGTGCTTGGGATGATCACTTAGTAATCAATGATAGAATTGAGAGCTGAAATGAGCTAATTATTTAAGCTGATTTGATAGACGATTGATGTTCATTATCTAGGAAATGTCGGGATGCTCTGAGTGCGATGTTATGAGTTAGGATGCAAGTGGGGTTGATGATGAGGTTGGAGTCAGAACATGTAGGATATCTTAGGTCCATATTCGCGTACTTCTTGGTAGGCTTCGCCTCGGCTGCTTTTCAGAGCTGAAAAGTGGTTTCTAAGTAGAGTGGAAATTTTTTTTCTATCTAACTGATAACCTGACTTCGTTCAAGAAATTTCTGAGTGTGACAAAATTCCTGAATACTCCGAAAACAAACTACGGGAATTGCAACACATCTTTGTAAATCTTGTCGAGATTCGCCTAGACATACTTTCCAACCGCGTGATACTACGTTTCAAGTAGATCTGGATCTCGATAAGTTATATCAGATGAATGCCTCTGTTTTTCAATTGGAACACTTTCTTATGCTGAAAATTGCCATTTAGTTTCCTTTTTTATTTTTATTTTTCCTTCGAACTTGTTTAAGGTACCGGCATGATTACTTTTCAGCAATTACATAACAAATTATCAAAGCTGTCTAGCAGATTCTTCGATAATTTTCGTTTTTTACTTGATCCAAAGCTTAAAATTTTGCACAATGCAGGAGCTAGTCATGCCAAGTAGGGTACTCCTTGAAATTCCACTATTTCTGATTCGCTTTATTCAATAAAAGTTGAAGAAAGCATTACGTTGAAAGCGCTAGCTCATCCTAGATGTGAAGGGGAAGAGAGAACGAGAAACAGATGTATTGGCACTTTGTTGTGAGCGCATACTGATTCAATATAAAGGTGTCACGCATTATTTGTGACTAAATAGTAATGCTTCAGTACATTTCACATTAACATAATTCCTTATTTTTTTAAATATTATATAGAATTACACGAAAAAAGCATTCATCGCTAGGCTGTGTTCGGTTTTCATTTCATGAATGCAAATAAATAATCAGAATTTGATTCGCACGATGACTCGATATGAGAAAAACTGCTCATCAGCGACTAATTTTCGGAGAAGTCAGTTCATTTACATGGTCATCTTTTGAGAAGCTCCCTAAATGAGTTTGGGAGTAGTCGTCTATTTTAATTCTTACCAGTTTCCATGAAATGTAACAATTAGGGAGTATTTATCCATTTGTCGCAAAAAAACGACGCATAGTATGTACCAACGGAGAATTTTGTTAGATAGAGCAAGTCAAGATCTAATAGGAAAATGATTTGACGCTATTGAAAAGTACTTCTAGACTGATCTCGACAAGATTGATAAAGATGCGTTGCAATTTAAGTAGTTTTTTTTTGGAGTATTTAGTAATCGTGAGCCTCAGATATTTTTGAACGCAGTTGAGATTATGAGCCTGATAGAGTTTTTCGCTCTGCTTTGAAACGATCGTTTTAACTCTGAAACGAAATTTGGTGCGAATCTGAACTTAAGATATCCTAAGTACAACACCACTGTTGTCGGAAGATAAGAACTATTCGGTTTTCAATCATCTTAATTTTTTCAATATGCAAGACGTACAAAAAAGAAAAACGAACAAGCAAAACTCATGTCACCAAAATCGCGTCACTGTTGTCGATTAATCGCGATAAAATCGCACAATCAATCGGCAATCTTTTCCCATTGTCGCTATGGCAACACAGCAGATAAAATCGTGATTAATCGACAAAAGTGACGCGATTTTGATGACATGGGAATACATCCGACGCGAACACATATTCATCGAGCATGCATCATCGATGTTAACATAGGAATAGTGGGAGATGACGGTGAAGCAGAATCATAAGGTAATAATTGAAAGGTAAGTAACGGTTCTAAGGCTGGTAATTTATCAGCTGATTCTTCTCGAGAATCAGTACTCATCAACTGTTGACCATTATTATGTTGCGACGAGTTAATCAATTTGCTGATCGGCCCAAACGTACGCTTGCTTATGCATTCGTCGACAACGTCTTTCGGTAGTGGTACTTGTGTGCCATCGGCAGACACGATTAAAAATAACATTGGAGGAGTTGGCGGCGGCCTACTTAAATGTAGCTCGCCGTCTAACAGTAAGCGTTCGACTAGGTTACCACCATTAATATTACCATTATGCGAGTAAGAACGAAACAGCATGAGTTTGGGTGTGTTCTTTTCAATGGCATCAACGTCATCGATCAATCGAGATAAATTAATTCCATGGGTAATCTCATGTGCTAATACGACGGCGATGAATAAGATTCCAGTAGATTCGCAAATTATATCCATGCTATCTATAGTAGAAAAAAAAACAGAAATAAGCTGTTCGATAGATAACAAACAAGTCTTTTTTTGTCATAGCCCTATGAGCTGTTCTGCCCAAAAAAATACATTTTTTTACCTTGTTTTTCTCGATTCACGTCAAAAAGTTGATGATTCAATAATATGGTTGGTGTACCATCCATCAGCTTTGCTGCTGCACAGTCCCGACTGAAGTCGAAAACTTTTTCTGCTAAACCAATAACATTAAATGTAGGATCAGATGGAGATTTCAATGATGTTGGGTGTGGTATGCTAATCTCAAAAGACGAGATGAGATTGCCTAATGTTGTGCACGGATCAATATCTTCGCGATTTTCCGGTGCAGCACCCAATAGTTCCAAACACATTAATGTGTTCATTGACGAAGTCAGCTGATCATAAACACCATTATAAACATTAAACCACATGTATAGTATTTGTAGGTGTTCCCTACGAAGAATGTCAATAAGAAGCAATCGAGCTCGATTGATCCAATTCACCATTCGATTGCGATCATCGACTGAGAATAATCCATCAAAGTTGAAGCGTCGGAAACTGAACGTGAATTGAGAAAATCCATCAGCTGAGAACAAAGACATCTTGTGTTGACATTCACAGAGAATTTTTTATAATCTTATTACAAATAGATAATGAAGATAAAACAATACAGCCGTCTTTGTCGTTTACCGAATGGAAGAAAAAAAGAAACATGCCTGTTTGTTCGTTCGTTCAATTAGCGAACATACTAATAGCCAATCGGATAAGCGGACCAGAAAAATGTGGCTGATTGGCAGAAGTAGATTGAGATAATTTGAATACACTTTTGTTCAGGACAAAAGTGGACCAAATATATAAAAAAAAGAATATATGGTATTTCATTTAGAAGTTACAACCAAATTCATTAAAAAAATACATGTTCTATATCACACAAAATGATTCTTTTCTCTGTGAGGTTTTTTTACTAACTATAAGGTATACTGCTTTTCATTCAAATGGCTAATCGACGAAATATTAAGTTAAAACGAATCTTAGAAACGCATAAGAAGAGAACAAATAAAAAAATAATTTACATTTTTTAAATTGAATTTCCTCGCCTATTTTTCCTATACTTCGAAAAGATGGGTATATAAACATTTAAGCGAAAATGGTTGTTAGTTGAAATATTTTTTTATGAACCAGAACCAAATTATATGACAGAAAAAATTCAAAGAGTATACTTTATAATACTGACAAAAAAATATTCCATGCGTATTAAACAGTCAATATTATTCAAGATGCGAAATAAACAACACTTGGCTAAAATCGTTTCAGCATTCTATTAGCTTTTTTCCATTATCAAGGGTAAAATCGATATGAAATTAATTAGCAAATATATTATTGACGAAATCAAATCGAACGATCTTGGAGAGCAATCTGATTCAATTATATATTATATAAAATCATCTGCAATCTATTAAATAGAATTAGTCGACGCATTTGATTTACTTGGTAATGTTAATGAATTATTCTATGCATAGAATCTAGTCGCACCGATGAAATAATACAAATTAATAAATACTCGATAATCATTTATATTTGCGCTATGAGAAAAATGATGGATTCCTAAATATTATTAGGGCATAATTTGTGCATAGGCGTTGGGTTGGTGCTATTTGTATACAAAGGCGAAAAATCATTAAAACTGGAAACACCCATCTAAAGCGTTGCTGTCTGAAGCTAACAATTTTAATTGAAGTTTTCATAACCACTGAATATTCCTGTCGATTGTATCGATATCTTGTCCAGTCTTGTCTCTAGAGTCTTTTCATGTAAGAACAACTTTGTATACTATATTTATTTCATTGCTTTGACGTAATAAACAAGTACTATTGATAAAATTTTGCTTCTACAAAATTCATAACGACCAATCGGCTCGATGAATAGTGAACCTATTGAAATCTTTTTATTGCCTTACGATTGGTGATTATTTTCTCTTTGGTGTAGTCTTTCTTGCTTTTGTTTGCAGAGGTCCAAGCTTCGTAGCTATGTAAATAAAACAAAAAAGTAACATTCATCAACATCGAAAGTGGATTTACTGGGATCTAGACTGACAGTGCTGAACACGAGAAATGCATGGATACGACTGAAAATCGGTTGTCTGTACCAGAAGCTGGCAATGAAATTGTCGAAGAGACCAGTCGATAAGTTGAAGGGGAATCTGTAAAGGGGCGGGAATAAGTGAAACTAAGACAAGAATCAGATGGCAATGGAAAGTTTTCAAGTAAAAGCATCAAACATGAAGACGAAAGGCGGACAGAAGGGATCTCAAAGGTTCTCAAGGCACGGAGAGATTGAGTCTTACCTAGCCACAAAAATACATGGTTCAGAAATTTCGCGGTGGTTAGCTCAAAGTTTTGTTTGGAATCAGCTTCCCCCCCCCAACACCGGGCCCCAAATC